CTCCTGAACAGTTAAGTCTTGTTCCAGATCGTCAGTTTTTCGTGCACATCCATTTTACAGGTCTGACTTATTTGTAAACAGACAGTTGATTTCTCGTCTCTTAGTTAGATGCACTCTGACTTGGAAGAAAACACCCCTGATTGGGCGGCTTTTAGGTCATGCTCGTTAAGAGGGCAGTGGGTCTATTCTCCGCCCCTTTCCCCCAATTTTGACCTCAGAACCCAAGTGGGCAATTATAGCAAATGTATCTTCTACTTCTGTGTTTGCCCTTAATAGCAGGGTTGGCATGTTGTGTTGTGGATTACAACTAGGCTATGATATCTGCACATTTTGGCCCAAGGCATCTGATTTAACAGAGAAAAAAACGAATCACCTTTAACTACATTGGAATAGGAGTTTACTATGGCCCCGCCCCTCCAATTGTGCTGTGGATTCCAGGTTAGGATAGCAAACACACAACTGCCTTGTACAGTATGACTAACATACGACTACTCTTTACATTTTGACAAACATCCTGTTCGGCATATGTTTAGTTGTCCGTTTACTGGCAGAAACATTTGACACTAAAGCTATTTGAATATTACAGCTGTTGACAGATAACTGAACTATAACCTATTTTCTATTGTACTATCAGACGTTTATTGTTCTGTCTCTGCTAACTTTAGCAGTGTTCTTTTCTACATTCAGTGTCTGTATACACTATCTTACGTTGCTGTCTGTTAATACTGTCTTCTTCTGCATTCCCCATATAAAAGAGCAGTTGGAACATTATGTTGTGGTTACAACTGAGCTGCAGTATCTCAGCTTTAAGGCCCAGCACATCCAGTTTCTTCAAACCTCTAATTGGTCACCTCTTTTAAAACATGCTTTTTAGGTAGGTATTAAGGCTATTACCCCACCTAATGAGACTCCGAAACTTACTCTGGGAAATCTTTTCTCTTTTTCTTTTTCTCCATTCACCGGCTGTAACTGTAGTGAAAAGTTCTGGTTGTTCGTCCACTTTCAGACTTCCAGGACTTGAATTTTGCATGCACATCCGTTGTACAAATCTGGCTTACTTGTTTATAGACTGTTTGTTCCTCATCGCTCAGGCTGATGCACTCCGACTTGAAATAAAAAATCCCAAATTTATCGTCTTTTATGGCATGCTTGTTAGGGAGGCAGTGGGTCTTTTCTTTGTCCCTTAAAACGGGGCCCTGTACACACAGAAGCGTTCTCTTGCAACAGTGATTTGTATATGGTGTACTTTCATCCTCAGAATGATACAGAGGAAGATACATTTTCTGTTAAATGTTAGGAAATGCTTGCATCTTCTTTCTCTTTCAGATCAGCAAAGAAGAAAGACTGAATCCTATTAAGCAGGATGTCAAGAATGGGAAACTTAGATATGTCAAAAACATTTTTCCTCATCATGGGTACATTTGGAACTATGGAGCACTTCCTCAGGTATGGCTTTTGTGTGCATACTCAGCACAAGAGAGAGAGAGACTCGGGGAGATAAGATTTCACCAGTTATATTACACATACTGTGTTTTTGTTGTTTGATAATGTCCAGTCAGTTCTTTACATGCAGTATACGTCAGTTGTTTTTTTTTCTTTGTTTTATTGTTCATAAATTGCTAGAGTAATTTCTCATATGTACTATGGCTCTACATATTTTCACAGTTGATTAATTTCTCATATGTACTATGGCTCTACATATTTTCGCAGTTGATATCCTCATCTGCCATGCTGATAAGTGGGAACATTTTGGTTTCTCATCACACACAATCACCAGTCCCAACCATATTTCTGACCATGCCACATTTATTATACTATGTGTCCAAGTCATGTGGTATTATTTATTTAATTATTTGTCCTTTGCTGTTTGCCATCTGTTACTAAGTTTTCAAGTTGCTAATGTCTGCACTGAATTTATCTTATCAGTTTGCACTTTTCTATGACTGTCTTCTTAGACTGTCTCTTCAGATTTTGGGTCCATGCATAAACCTAAAACATTTTCTTGTTAAGAGAGAGAGATGTTACTTGGATGTTATCTGGTGTTTCTTCAGAGACAAAAATAAGTTTAATTATAAACCCCCCCTCTCTCTCTCTCTCTCTCTCTCTCTTTCTGTGTGTGTGTGTGTCTCTCTCTCTCCCCCCCCCCTCTCCTGTGTACCCCACCAGGACATCACACAAGAGATAAACATCCGGCGACACAAAGTGCCATCACGCGGATGAGGACTACTGTGGAGAGGTCCCAGAAAGCCCTTTCAGCCATTATGGCTACAATTGTTGTCCAGCTATATTCAGGGCCCCTAGCAAAAGCCAGGGTGGGGCTTCAAATATATCGAAAAATTGCATATTACAAGGGAATGACATAATAGTAATGATATATAAACCTACCATAATTTCAGTTTATGTAGAGAAAGTCTGGAGATATTACATCTGCATATCTTCTTCACTTCCTCTTGTACTGCTTCAGGTGTTGAGGTGGATATAAGCTTCTGCTTCTTACTCTTCTGGCCTTCTCGACCATAAACATATCAAGCTATTTTAGAATTTCTTTTATATTATCTTTCCATCTTGTTCTTGGTCTACCCTTTGCTCTGCGTTACCCTCCTTTTTATGTATGTGATGGTATGGCGTCACAAAATGTTAAGTGGGTAAACCATGTTATTAGCTCACTTTGTATGTAATTTAGAACTGGCTTTGTGTTGATTTTTTCTCTGATGACTACGTTCCTGATTTTATCTCTTCTGATCACTCCTGCAGCATTTCTTAAGACACCACATTTCCATTGTAACTTTGTTTACCCTGGTTTGTTATGAGTGATAATGTCTGGCAGTGGAGCACAGAGTGGGAATGAATCTGTGAGATATGTTTCTTTGTGCTGGTTGGTATTATTGTCTTGTGCTGTCAGGGGGATGGGAAGCCTGCTGTCCCAATACTTTGTTTGCATTACTGCATCAGATGTTACATTCTTTACCCAATTTTCTGACCTCGGTTAGTGTTCCCAGATCCCAGATGTTTATAAACTCAGAGACCTGTTTAACACTTCTGCACTCTACTACTGCATTTAAGATCTGCTTCTTTCTTCCTATTGATATTACTTCCTGTCCTTTCAGTGCTGATTCTCATTTTATTTGTTTTACATTCTACATTCATGGATATGAAATGTATTTTAATTTCATGATTGCTTTAGCTATCAAGGCCTGGTCATCAACTCAGCTCAGAGTAGTTTGTTAATGTTAATATTTTCGATCCTGGGCTTGGCATCTGTGCTTATACTGTAAGTGTGGTTGACTTAAAAAAAAGTGTATCAGTAGTAACAGAATCTTGTTAAAAGTTGTCTGTGATCTAGTAAATTTGAGAGAACAAAATACATTTTTTCTTTACTTGATCATGCTTATATTCCAGACCTATGAAGATCCAAACTATATAACCCCTGACACTGGGTGCAAGGGTGATTCCGACCCCATTGATGTTTGTGAAATTGGCCACAAGGTAATCTCTCTTTGATCCCAGGTGCAGTTGTTTCAGGAAATATTAAATCTTGAATGTTTGATTAATAATTTAATGACCATCGACTGGTTAAATGGAATGAATTCAAGAAAGTTGAAGTGACCTGTCTGGAAAACCACTGACATTAACAGTTGTATGACAAAGATGATGGCACTATATTGAGAGCATCCCGAGAAGAAGCGAGAGAATCACTAAATAGACACTGAAAGGGGAAAACAGATTGAGGAAACTTAGATGTCCAAGAGAAGCCCTAAAATGTATGTTAGGAGAGGCTAATGGTGCTGAAAGATTCCATGTATAAATATTGGAAGGATTGTACTACTTAAAATGGAATGGAGGAATAGTGAGTAGTATGTGACATAATGGCACTTCAGAATGGCGATTATTACTTGGGTTCAGAAGGGAAGCATACGATTCTCACGCTAATTGTAATAGTAATTTTTGTAAGAGGTACCCAGCTTTTCCATCCTGTAGAAAATCACACATGGCTTGGTGGGAATTGATGGCCGGTGCTACATTTTTAGACGAAAGTGCTGGGAATAGAGAAAATGGGTATTTCTGAAAGTAATTGTAATTATTTTGTTTTTAATTAAAAAAAATATATCTAAATGTACCAGATACGACTATTATAAGTATACTCAGGACTCACAGTGAAAAGTTGCAAACATTTTGTGGTAAGTTAGACACTCTTGTTTGTTCAAGTAGTAGAGGGTGGCCTTGGTCAAGCTAGAGGTCAGCAGTTTATTGTATGCTTGTAAAATATGAACAAAAAGCAGATAAACTAACAAGCACTTAATTGCAGCAGAAATAAGATTTATGATGGAAATACAAAGAATATTTTGGATTGGCAAAAACAGAAACTCGTAAGAAACAGATGAGAACCATACATTGGGAGAAAAAAAAGAGGTGTAAAAGGGAATTGTTTGGGGCATTTTATAAAAGGGAACTAAACTGTTAAATGGCAGCCTTGATTGCGGGGGCTAGACATAGAAATACTATCTAGATTACTTGACCACATGGCTTGGGTGGGACAGGAAAACAGGCCTGATTCATGACTCCTGTGATCATGTGAGATTGCATATCATGTTGATGTCTTTTCTGTGCACATGGTTTATCTTATTGATTATTGCTAAAATGGTACTTATGTTTATATGGTTTTGCTTCTCATAAATATATCCATTTTGGATGACATTTTAGGATCATTATTCTGAGAAAAATTTTTTTTTTTTTTTTCAATAGCAAATAGAAGAAGAGAAAACAAAAGCTTCCATACATAAGAAAAATAAACATTTTTTCGTATGAAAACAATTTTTTTTTTAATATGGCTCTACATGACGGCCATTGTTTTGAAAACAGGTTTTGATGTGTATTCTCCACTGCTGAAGAGCAAGTGTCAGCATAGCTGGAGTTCTGCTTGCAACTGGTGTTGGTGATATATTCTATTTTTCATATGAATGGAAAACTTGTGGGGCACCCTGTACATGTCACATGTGACCAAAGCTTGGTAGCTGTGCTTCACAAACCTGTGGTTCACAAAGAGAAATGTGACTTCACTGAACTACATTTGAGACAGGAAGTAGACTGTCAGCAGTAATGTGTTCGTTTTTCCTCTGTAGATCCATGCCAGAGGTGCAGTGGTTCCAGTGAAAGTTCTGGGAGTGCTGTGTCTCATTGATCAGGGTATGTGTCACAGCTTAGATCAGTGGTTCTCAGCCTTCCTAATGACCCCGCATGCAGATCCTCGTGTTGTGGCGACCCCCAAACATACAATTATTTTTGTTACTACTTTATAACTTCAATGATTATGTGGTTTTTCGATGGTCTTTGGCGACCCCCCCCTGTAAAAAAAAAAGTTGGCTTGCGACCCACAGGTTGAGAACTGCTGGCTTAGATTATTTAAAAAAACTGTAGTATGACTCTTTCATTTCTACTACCTCCCAGTATCGAATGAATTTAGCAACAACAAAAAATTTATGGCTAGCATCCAGTTTTTCTTTCACTTTAAACTTTTGTCTTTTTGTGATAAACAAAGATTTTCAATTCATTGAACATTTTCCCATGTTCTGCATTAGAAACTTATTTGTTGTAAAACAGGGAAAATGTCCCTATCATGTGTAGGTAACACATCTATTGCTACAAGGAGTCTGTTTCATTGTGTAGGTAAGAAACGCTCTGTGGCTATGCAGGAAAAAAAATATCTTACCTGTTTAGTGCTGAATTTAGGCATAAGCTACAGCTTGAGGCCTCACGATATGCAAGGGCCTCATATAATTCCTATCTCCCCCCCCCACACACACACACACACACACACACACACACACACACACAAATGCAACTTTTCATTTACTCATATATTTTAGTTTAAATAAATCAGCTGGTGTAATTTAAAAGGGTAAAGGCCTCAGAGCTCTATATATCTTAGTGTCTCATCTAATTCTCAGTCCTGCCCTGGTCATGTTGTGTGTAGGTAATTAACATGTACTATTAATGTCCATTTTCTTCTCTTGATGTATGCCAGTTTCTGATGTTAGTATTAGCAGTACTTTTCCCAGTATCCTTGCGTGTGAAAGCTGTATCCCCTGTTAAAGAAAAAATCAAAAAGAAATGTAGGGTATTATTTTTAGAATAAGCCACTTGTCCTGATATTTTGCAAAGTGAAAACTCATCCACAATGGACTGTTGGTAGTGCATTTTCAACAATAAAGACAAACCTCACTTGAGCCTCAGAGTCGTGCTTAAATTAGGTGTGCTGGGCGAGAGGTGAACAAATTGCAGCTGTATTGTCAACAGATAAAAGAAAACCTACATATGTTATGGTGATATAGATTTCACCAGTCTGTGTTTGAAGTTGATCCAGGCTTATAAACCTATGACTAGTGTCACAAATTTGAGCAGCTCAAGAATTAGAGAAAAAACCTGATAAAAATATAACGACTGTCTTGCCCTTCAGCTGATGTAATCTATCATAAGATGATCAACAGTTACTGAGCTGATGTAATCTGTCCTCAGCTGATCAACAGTTACTGAGCTGATGTAATCTGTCCTCAGCTGATCAACAGTTACTGATCTGATGTAATCTGTCCTCAGCTGATGTAATCTATCATAAAATGATCAACAATTACTGAGCTGATGTAATCTGTCCTTAACTTATCAAATTTCATGCAGTATAAATGACTTTAAAAAAAATTATTTCAGATGTCCCAGATATAGAAGCCCACTTCCCAGGCTTGTTAAGGGTAAGTCTTACATTAAGGAAAAAAAACTCCTTACTACTCTTTAGGGCAATGTCTTGGTCCTGAGGATTTAGGGCCACATAGCTTGTGCAGTTGCCATGAACTTTTCAGGTTAGGATGTTTAATTTTGCCTTAAAGGGAAACATGACTCCATCATCTTACAGAGGATTCGAACCCATGTCAGTCTTACTTGGAGAAGACTAACTTTGACTTCATCTGTATCTTGTCCTCTTATTCATGAAAAAGCATGGAAAAGAAAGATGGCAAGAAATGGCCTCTTTCAGCCTTTGGCTGTTCATTAGTCTTTAAAAGCATCCCATTGTTGACCCTTAGCCTTGGTTGCCAGATGGTTTAGGAGGGAAGCTCAGACATATCACTGCTCTTCCAATCCGCCCACTTCCTCAACATTCTTTATTCCATACATTTTAGTGTTACCATTCCTTTGGATTAAACAAGACAGATGGCATTGGCAACACGTGCTCTCTAACTTGCTGCCTAGGCTTTGTGCTTTGGACTCAAATTACATCGTGAGCAGGTTTTGTCACACTTGGTATCATGGGATTTGATTCCCATACTTCCATATAGCACAGCATAACACCAGCACCTGGAAAGACAATAAAGGTGCCAAAATCGTTCCAGAGTTGTCTGTCTTGTGCTGTTCTCTAAAAAAAATTTCCATATTGATTGATTTGTACATGTCTCTTTCATAAATGTTTGTCTGTATCTACTCTCTCAGGAATTAGTGCTCAGTCTGTTGTTTCTTCCTCTTATTATGTGATCAGGCCTTGAAAGATAGTTGATAGTTGTCTCATTGTAATCAGCTAGTGAACAGTAATTGTTATATTTCAATACTGAACATGCATAATTGTTTAGCATTTCACATTGTGAGAGTTTACACTTTTGTGTTTGGATATGTTCAGGCGACCTATGAGTGGTTCAAATACTATAAAGTTGCAGATGGCAAGTCAGAGAACCGGTTTGCATTCAATGGAGAGGCCAAGAACCGGGTATGAATGAAGTCTTATGTGTAGTTTTCTGCTTCATCAGTGGGTGTCCTGTAGCCAACATCCTTCCTTGGGAGATGAGATAGAGAGAGAGAGAGAGACACACACACACAAAACTCTGCCACAAGTTCTGTGTCCAGATTGGGGAGGGGTGTACATGTATAATCTGTTTTCATCTCTTGCGTATCCCAGGGATACATCACACTGGTGAGGTTATTCAGATGTGGTTCTACATGTTTAAATGTTATATTGATTTTGTGACTAGGATGTTTGCTTGGTGTATTTCTTTTGTCTTGAACTTCATCTTGTCTGCTATTCTTTTCTCTTTGCTGAAACTGTTTATTTTAAATTATGAAAAGAGTCAAATTCAGATGTTCTGAAGAGACTACGAATAAAAAGTTAGTTCTGCCCGGAATATTAAAAAAAATGACAAAATATTTAGGCCTTTTTGAGAAACCTGATAGTGACTCAATAAGTATGCTCAGGAAGATAAGATTGCCTGGGTTGGGGGCTGACAGATATCAGTTTCATTTTCATGCCAGGGCATGCAGGTGTGCATAGAAATGAGCTAGCTGAAACGCTTACTGGTACTGCTGTGGAGGGAGGATGGACGAGCTTTCGACCGGCTTGATGTTCTGAATACTCTACAAGAAATAGGGCAATTGTGAGAACCAAATGTTGACTGTGAGTCTGCAACTATGACCAGACTGCAAGAACAACATGTTAAAAAGGGTGTAGCCAGACAAGAGCACTTTGCAGGAAGAATAAGAAATCAACACAGAACGGGTGTCGTCAGCCACTACACGATGCCGGATTTACTGAGAAGGGGTCTTGCGCACTTTAACTGAATAATTCGATGTGTAATGAGGAGAATCTGTCAGCTAAGAGTTTAGTTGTATAAGAGTTTAGTCAGTAAGTTGTTGAATTCTGATGACGTAGCACTCAGGGAGTTCCCATAAGTGTTCCGTCCCTATCTTCACTAGTCAGCATAGAGTTCCAGTTCCACAATAGTCTTCTCTTCACCATCTATTGCCAGCTGAATGTGCACCCAAGCTCGGCAAAGATTTTTTTTAGGTACAGCATAATTGTGTCAGTGAAAATATAGAGCCTCGTTGATGCCAGTTGTGATTAATTTGAAGATGATCTGATGTTTCTTCTTGTAGTTTAAACAGTATTCTCTTGTGTCTCCCAGGAATATACCTTACATGTGATCGAGGAAACACACAACCAGTGGAAATCCTTAATCAATGAAGCAGAATCATCAATAGTCAGGTTTGTATGTTAGGAAACTTGCTGTTCTTTTTCAGCGTTCATGGCTGCAGATATCACCCGCCTCTACACGTCACTCTGGTTGGCCTTCTCTTTCCAATTAGTGATACCAAGTGTTTGCAGGTTTGTCTGGACATTGTACATTCCATGTTCCAAATCTCAAAAGTCCTTTAGTGTTCCACTTTCATTGTCTAAGTCCATCCTAAATCGAGGCTTAGATATTTGTTTCGTGACAAAATCAAGTTTTACGAAGGTGGGGGTGTCAGCCCCAGCCTGGAGGACTAAGGTGTCTGTTCTCTACCTTTAGACCCTTAAGGCTTTGGAGGCTGGTGGCTGTACTGCCTTGCCTCATTAAATGTAGCTGCAGATTTTTCAGCATTCTTTCAATGTTATTGATTTTACTTCAGTCAGCAGTGACGCATCAACGTGATAAAAATGTCTACATACTTCCTTTGATGTGTGACTGGTTAAAATTTTGTTTCCTGAAAAACTGTCTCCTTCTTCCTTTCATCCATATCTGTGTCATTAGTTAATTAACGTCATGTATTGTTTAGCAGTGTCGTTGCTGTTAAAGAAAATCTAGGAAATGGTAGAGAAGCAAAGGCAGTTCTCCTTGAGATAGAGATATAAAACCGAACAAAAAGTATATCAGCGAGCTTCACAATATAACAAACACAAAGTGAACATTGTGGTCTTCTTCAGCACATACATAGATTAGACAATACTACACAAATACAAAATATCACTTATCTTCGTATCTCGTGGTAGTCAGGTCGATGTAAAGACAACATTCTCTTGAGAGAGACACATTAGACATAGATGGCGTTTTTGGACCTGTTATGAGAAGGAATGGACTTGAGAACTTGGCAACAACTGGCAGGATTAATGTACAAAAGAGCTTGCTGAAGGCAAAGAGATAAATACCTGGATGTCTTAGTCATATGGAGGGGGGCCAGACAAGAGCAGTGGTCTGATCTGTGATTTTGGTGATTATGTGAGATGGCGAAACATGACACTGTATGCTGATCACACGGTACATGATGATGATGTTGCTCAGTTCTGCTTGCATAAATAAGCAGACCAGAAATTACGAAGTGATTCGTTTAAATTTACTGATCTGACTGCCCCACTGCTGGTGTTTCCCCCGTTTGACCACCTCACCCACCAAGTGCTGATTGGTCCATAAAATATGAGTGTGGCTCATCTATAAGTGCCTACACTTTTTATGTTGTGTTAAACCTCATCTACACTTAACTTTTTGCCTCAACACACCTTTACTAAATTTTACCTTGTACTTTTAGCCAGAGAACAAAGTTTTGCTGTTGACATCTGTTGATTCAGTTGACATTGTTGATAAATTATCTTTATTTTTTTTTTTTTCAAAGAAAAAACACAACAGTGACAGCAAGTTCTGATCTCATTGACAGAACTGAAGGAGAAAGAATCATTGAAAGTGTGAGTACATCTTATTTTTGTTAAATTATAACTAAGTGTGGTTTTTCAGTTATTTTCAATTCTAACTTGCCAGCAAATGGGCCACCCTGTAGTTATTCCATTCCTCAACCGGCAACAGCCTGAGTTCCCATTGTCTAACCCTTGTGAAATATTATAGTCTATACCATTGACACATATAAAATGTATAAGGCAGCCATCAGAAGTGGCAACACACACATTTCACCACTAGAACAGCAGATCTTCACTGTCAGCAGTTGTTACAACAGATAAGCAGTTGCATCTGCAATATCCCATAATGAGGTAGGCCACCTTGCCATTTTTTTAATCAGCAGTTCACAGACCATGTTGGGCACAGTAGAAAGGCACTCCAGATGAAATCCAGTGTTGCACCGTGGACTCAGCTCTAGCTGGGCAACAGAACTATACTTTTAGTTCATGTGTTCCTGAATTGCTGCCAGTTCCCCTGTTAGAATTTTAATGAACTTAACTGAAGAATGCAAAAGAATACTTTTTAGCACTCAACAAAATGTGGCATGATAAAGTAGAATTGTTTTATGAGGAAATGACTTCTGTTAGAGAAAAGATCAGTTCATACGCATACATTTTCAAGTTGGAACTTTTGGACCCCAAATTAGAACAAACAAAACCACGACAGATATTTTTTTACCTCAAATGAGAACTAACAAAATCATGGTGGGAATATTTGTCTCATCTGTCTTTCATGTGGATCTTGGAGCCCTGTTGTGGGGAAAAACAAGAATAGTCCCACTACCTCTCTAACAAGCATGTCATAAGAGTTGACTGAGAGGCAAGGAACCAACCATCTGCACACAGATAAGCCAGATCTTTAAAACAGATGTGCAGCAAAACTCATGTCCAAAGGTGGAAGACAGCCAGAACTTTCTGCCTGATTTAGTAGTCTAGTAGTCTTAGTTTCAGCTTCATAGCAAACGGGTCACCCCATCTTTGCTCCGCTCCTGTGCCAACGAAAAACACAAGGAATGTTTATCACAGTCCCTTTTTGAAAGATTGACAGACTGCTGTCTCAGCATATCTAGCATACACATGCATTAAAGCATACAGTAGCCATCCGACATTAGAAATGCAGTTCATCATCGATGGTAGCAGAAGTCACCAACAGTCAGCAGTTGCCCATGCGATCAATTTTAATCACATACGGGCACCACCAACATTGCGACGACAGGCATCGCGGTCGCGCCATTTTCTGAATCTACAATTCACACCACCACGTTGCTCACAGTCGAAAAAAAAACATTCCAAATTAAATCCGCAGCTCACAGTGTCATGTCATGCATTCAACTCTGAAGCTGGGCGACAAAACTATATCCATTCTACAAATGGAGCAAAAATGCATCGGCCACCGTCCGGCAAAAGAAAAAATATTTGCCTCGGCTCCGGACAGTACCCCTTGCCTAGCATTCATTTTGACTGGAAGTCTTGGTGCCTGAGTTTACAGGCGGTGAACACTAAGATCTTACATGATAGCTAACCATTTTCTTCTTCTTAATGTCCATGGCGTCGTTATTGTCTGTCCACAACTTTCTGTCTCGTGTACTTTCAATCAGCTCTGATGCAGATGATCCTCCATGCCTTGATGTCACTATCCAGCATTTTTTCTCTCGGCCTCCCTCTACCTCTTTTTCTAACTTTCCTGCTGTCATGATATACTCCAGTTTTCTTCTCATCACATGACCAAACAATATTGATTTATCTTTTTCTGATGTGGGCAATCAGCTCTCTTAGTCAGAAGCTGTGATCCCATCTATCCAGAGTATTTTTAATCATGTACTTCATTACAACAATAAAATCATCCAGAGTATTTTTATCATTCATGTATAAAACCACATCTCCGCAGCTTCCAAATAATTTTTCACTAATCTACTAGCTGTCTATGATGTACTTCATACATAAAAATAGGATTTAAATAGCTTTTACCAAGTATTTTACATCGTGTCTCAAAACCACATCTCCGATTAATGAAAACATTTTTTCACTTGTAAAATGCTTCTATTTGTACTTGAAACTATTCTACATTTAATTTCTTTAATAGGTCTTTAGTCTGATGTTATCTTACTTTTCCTTCCACGTATGCCGCTAACTGCTTCCTTTGGGGAAGATGCAAGTTCCTGTCATAATAACATCTTTAGCATCATGATGTTCTGAGGCCATGCTTTTCTCAGTATTCTGAGCTAAGTCGTTGTGGGGAGTGCAAGGTCTCTTCATAAGCAAGGCCATCTGATTTCTGAGGTTCTTTGCAGCTTCAGAGAGAATCCTGGGATCAGATCAAAGGAATCTGGAATAAATCTTTCTTTGAGAAGCTTCTTTGGTTGAAAATTTGTCATGTTATTTGATCATTTTTCATCCTGGTTAGATGTCCAAACCATTTCATTCTTTGATGTTCTATGTAGTCTAAACATGGCGTAGTTTTGACAGTGTTTCTAATGTCTATATTCTTTATCCTGTCTAGTCTGGTCTTGTTCGCTGCTTTTCTTAGACATTTCATTTCACAGGCTTCTATTTTTCTTTCATGGGTCTTGTTGATTGTCCATGTTTGGCACTGGTAGCAGAGTGTTGGAATGAAGATGGTGTTTATCAATTGTCTATTGGTCTTCATGGTTATATCTGGATGTTTAAGCAGATGTGATAGTTGGTATGTGACAGCATTTGCTTTCTGTATTCTTGTTTCTATCTCTCTGTCCATTCTTCCATCCTCTGTAAATATACTGTCCAAAAGGAAATTTGAAAACTATTTGTCTTGCTTGAAGTTTGCTTATTCAGTGGCTTGTGAAGGCTTGTGTGCTGATCTTCATAACTTCTGTTTTTTCTGTACTGATTCTCATATTATGTTGTAAACAGCTGTTGTTGAGAGTAGTCAGATGTTCCTGTAGATCATATTCATTTTGATACAGTATGCTTTGATCATCAGCAAAAAGTAATTCGTTTATAGCATACACGTCTGGGTTTGCTTCTACAGTGATCTTATCCATGTATGTTATGAAAGTAATGGTGACAGTACACATCCTTGTCTGACACCAGTTGTGACTTTGAACCATTCAGAAAGACCACTAGATGTTCTTACTGCACTTTAATAGCACTTTTTCATTTGAGGGCTCAAAAGAAATACTAAACTAAAAAATCAGTACTATTGTATGGGGCAGAAACATGAACAACTAAGGCAATTACTAATAAATTACAGACATTCATTAACTGGTGCCTGCGCAGAATAGAGGGAATAAAATGGTATGATAGAATAACTAATGTAGAACTTTGGGAGAGAACTAAACGGGCTCCAGTGGACCAAGAGGTGAGGAAAAGACGCTGGCGTTGGATAGGACACACACTGAGAAAACAGGAGAACAGAATAACTTAAATGTCTTTGCATTGGAACCCACAGGGGCATAGGAATAAAGGAAGGCCAAAAAAAAACATGGAGAAGAGAGCTGGAGAATGAGGTTAGAAAGATAGGGAGGAAATTGGGAGAGCTTCATGTAATGGCGAAGAACAGAACGACTTGGCGTGAGTTGGTTGAGGGCCTATGCTCCATTGGGGGATAGAAGGGCAGAAGAAGAAGAAAACTAACTGTCCGCATATTGCAGGTTATGGCCACCAACTGATATTTCTGGCATACCATGTGTGGATCTAATTATTATTTCACTGTAGATTAAATAAATCTGGTGACAGTATACATCCCGGTCTAACGCCTTGTTTAATGTTTTGAAAAGTTCCCACTTGAATCTCAATCCTTGTGGCGTTGTTTGTGCCTTTATCTTCAACAAAACCACACTGCTGTTTCTCCAGTTTTTTGGTTAAAATTTTGCACCCTTTTTTTTCCCTCAAAGGTGTAAAATAATTTCAAAACGTCATCAGGTACAGCTTAGACTATATATATATAGTGGAAACATTTGACCTCACAGAAGAGCCAATACATTACATTGAATGATGTTACATGTCAACTTTGTTCTTTTCTTTGCTAGGCTGCAGCTCCCGGTCCTGCTGCAGAGATTGATCAAGAACGTAAGTGTGCTGCTGATTTGTCTCTTGATGAATTTTTTTTTTTCATGCAACCAATTTCTTTTTCAAAGTATAAAATGAAAACTTTTTGTGGGGATGCAAAACCTTTGACTTAATTTTATTAACCCCCCACCCCCCATGGGTTCTGTTGCTCCGCCATTTTGGAGAACAAAGAATAGGAACCCCCCCCTTTAGAGAACAAAAATGTTCTGGACGGCGACTAATAAGGGATGTTTCCATTATCGGAGTGCATGTCTGCATACAAATGAGTCAGATCTGTAGAAGAGACATGCACACAAAACTCAAATTCTGGATTAAGACCAGAGTACAGGAGTGGATAAACCACCAGAACTCTTTTGCCAGAGTTTACCGATGGTGAATGCTAAAATAAAAGAGTGGCTAGTCGAACGGTTAAGAACACAAGCCTTTTATGTGGGAGACTGGGGTTTGAATCCTCAGTAAGTTGGATTTTTTCCTGCCTAAATCAAATTTTAACCTACAGTCTGTGGCGACAGCACTAACCATGTAGGCTCAAGTCCTCAGGCTCTGAGACCCCCCTGCCTACACCACAAAAGTGATAAATATGCCAAGTAATAGCAAAACACTTCAGTTTTAATATTTCAGTGACTGTAATTTCTAATTGAAAATAAAGGGAAAAAAAAACTTAAATGTTCTGTCAAACCTATTCTCTTCTATGACAATAAATCTTTAAGTGTGAATGACCATATAGAGAGCTTGAAAGCAGCATTAAAGTGTGGGTTTCTGTGATGATTATTTTGAATACCTTGAGGAGAGAAAAAATAATTGAATGAAAGAAATTTAAGTAGAAAGTTGTATACAACAGTGTAAAAGAGAAATATACTTTGTATATGCTGCAAAAAAAGATTGGATATCATTGCCAGGAATGGAGAGGTCAGGAGTTGACAAAGCAAGGCAGACCAAGAAATTGTAGCTCTCCTTCTCTACTATATTAGACCACATGTAATTTAAGAAGATATAGAATTTCTCCTTTTGTCACCTCACCAATACCAGATTGGAAAGCTCAGTCTTGTGGTTGTCTGTATGTCTTGTGCTTCTTGTGTCGTTTGGGTGATGTAATTGTTCACCTTTTTTTTTTTTTTTTGCAGCTTTCGGTTACACCGTTTGTCCATTTCTTTCTTGGTCTTCCCGCTAGATGTTGTTCTGTAAAAAGTCTCATGCAGTTTGGTCTGACTGCATTCTCACTAGATGGCTGAACCATTTTATTCTGTCTGTCAATATAATCCAGATATGGTCTTATTTCAACTTTTTCTCTAATGTTGGTATTGTAACCCTATCATTTCTTGGGTTGTTAGTGACCTTGCAGAAACAGTGCGTTTCAGATGTAATTTTCTGTTCCAGTACCCTATTCATTGCCCATGTTTGGCCCTGATAGCATAAAGTAGGGATGAAGATGCTATTAATTATTTGCTGTTTTGCTGGAAGGAGACATTTAAGTGTCTAAGCAGTGGAGCTATCTGGTAGGTGACAGCATTTGCCTCTCTGTACTCTTGCTTCTATCTCAAGAAACAGGTCTGCCATCCTCTGTAAAGATGCTTCCTAGATATTTGAATTCTCTTATTTGAATTGCTCCACCAGTTCTAAATGCTACATTTGTCTCCACAAACTTTCAGATTGCTACATATGTTTCCACCAGTTTTCTAATAGCTACATTTGTCTCTGCCTAGTATTCTAATTGCTACATTTGTCTCCACCAGTGTAGTAACGGCTACATTTTTCTCCACCTCCTCTACATGTGTCACCACCAGTGTTGTAACTGCTACATTTGTCCATAGTGTTGTATACAAAGTTGTGTCATTTTCTTCACAGACAACAAATGGTACTATGTTATACCACAGAATTGAATGGTAAATCAAGAAGCAGAAGTCACGATCTCAGCCACAGACAAACAATATAGCCACAGACAAACAAGTTCCTGCACACACACAGAGATTAGTTTGGATTTCACTTGTTTTAGTCGACAGGCTAAGTTCTTATATGTCCGTATGCATGCATTATTTGGTCAGATGTCACAAATATCATGTAAGACAGAAGACCACAAGTGTTCCCCATGTCAGCTCTATCTAGCATGAGTTACCATTTTATAATGTCAACATTTTGTGTGTACTAAATGTACAAAAGTTTTGCTAATTTAGAAATTAGAGTTTTCTTAAATCTGAATAATTGTATAGGTTAATGAATTCACTTGTATTGTTGATAGATGCTCAAGGTGCAACTTAAATATAAATTTTTGATTACAGTTTGTTTCTTTTGTCAGTAATTGCTTGACATACACGGGGCATAAAACTGGCAGATGGAGTACTTTTCTCCATCTTGCCTAACATTATCAGATTTCTCACCATCTCCTATACCTAACTTCAGCAGGAAAGTATTCTCTCATTTTACTCCTTTGTCTGTCTGCATGAGGAAACCAGTGATACTCCTCATCCTATCATCCCATTTACAGAAATAGAACATTGTACTAAGAATGTATGTATTGTACAATTTTGATTATTTTAATACTATGTTGAAACAAAATTGTTTTTCTATAATTCAGTATGTGACTTTTAAACTGTGAGAGACTAAGCACTTAAGGGCTTGTTCTAGCAACTCTTTATCATACCTTAGGACCACAATTTTGTGCCGTCTGTTGCTTGGCTTGTTGTAGATAGTTGGATTCAGCTATTAACACATTATTTGGGATTACTTTCATGGGACATCATTACAATTATTGGTGTAATAAACACATGCTAAATCCAGTTTTCCTGTTGTTTTCTTAAGTAAATTTGCTTTCTTGTCAACAACTTGTGCATTGGTTGCTTGCTGTTTGGAAGTTTCTCCAAATGTTTAATGGATGTGTGCTGTTTTTGTTTGTTTTGTTTTTCTTATTAAAGGGCAAAAAGATGGTATATCTGGGGACTAGTGTTCACAAACTATGCTGGTTAGGATGTTTATTTTTTTTGGTCCCTGCCCGTGCTGAAGATTTGAACCTGAGCCTCCCACATGAGAGTCCAGCAATCTGATCAACCACTCAGTCTTATTTTATTTTCATGTGTTAAAAAAAATATTAGTTTGTTGAAGATAACTCTTTGAGTCCCAGGAGGTTTAGCATCACAGGCCCAGGGGCAGTAAAGAAAGTAATAAAATCAGCGTACTATGCGTTTATTAATTAGGCTTCTAGGTAGGAACCTATGAACGTATGATGCATTCCTTGGGACTCAAAAAGTTAATACATCTCAGCTGGCATGACTGGAACCCTAGACTTGCATGACAATGTTCAGTCCTCTACTGTGTAAAACATCCCAGGTCTTCGAGACAAACAATTTTACACAACTGATGACAATGATACTTTGAGAGATAAATGACAATAATACTTATAGAGACATAAGTACTAAAGTTTTCTAAAACAGGCTGTTGTGGGCATGGGAACCACCACCTAATCTAACACTAACAGGAAAATGTGAACTTGAAACTGGATTAAGTATGGGGGGGGGGGGGGGGGGGAGCGAATAGAAAGAAAACAGGTATAGTGGCCTTGATGAAAGGGTAGTTTATGGACAAAGGGGCCGACTGCTGTGAAGATCACCAACACAAGACCTTGCATTAGCTTTGAATACTAGGGCTGTAACGAATATTCGCTTCGGGGCCAAATAGTGGACCTAATAACTATTCGGTATATATACCGAATAGTTGCTGTCCTTACACCCTTTTCTGGACTGGTGGAAAATAAACATATCAAGATTTCCCGCCTTGGTTCATACTGTCAAGCGGTATCTTTGTGCACCATCTACGAGCGTACCAAGTGAACGTCTGTTCAGTACAGCTGGAAATAACTTAAGTGAGACAAGAAGCTGCCTAAATGCTGACAACATGGAACGATTTTTTTTTTCTTTTTCTGAAAGCTACTGCCGCTTTCATGGATTAACTAAGCTGTCAGTGTCAATTTACAATTGAGGTTACTTGTTATAAAACTAAGAATACTTTCATTCCTAGGTGTTGGCTACCACAGACTGACTGACTGAAGGATGCAAAACATGAAATGTTTTTAAATGTTTACTATTCTGTACTACATTTAGTGAAGTAAAATTTCAGCGTACATTTGACATTATGAATGGTTTTTTTTTCTGTTTTTTTTTTAAAGATCTATTTTATACACAAAAGTGGAAGAATGGGCCTCAGTTTGAATAGTGGGATGGTGGTATCAAAGAAAATAATTATCCCTAAATGTGTAATAAAAGTCAATGGTTTTATTTTGGGACAAGTACAGAAATTTAAGTATCTGTGCACTTGTAATAACATCAGATGGAAGATGCGTTACTGAAATGAAACAGAATAGGACAGGCAACAACTGCATTTTATAAAATGAAGAACGTCTTATGCAATATATCTTTGTCATTGAAGGTTAGAAAAAAGAATTCTTGCTTGCTACATACATCCAGTTTTAACATATAACTGTGAATCCTGGACAATCGGTAGGCAGGCCAAACAATTTCTTGAGGCCTCAGAGATGTGGTTTTACAGAACAATGATTAAAATACCTTGGACAGCCAAAAAGAGGTTTTAAAAGAGGCGGGAGCCCGAAGACAACTGCTCACAGACATCAGAAGGAGACGGCCATCATTTTTCAGCCATAAGATGAGGGAAAATGGAACATGTGGTGACCACTGGAAAGATATGTGGAAGGAGGGATAGAGAAAGACAACGAGAGAAGATTCTTGAGTCTTGGTGCATGTTACGAAGGTGTGTCATCACACGAACTAATACATGCTACAGGAGATCGCAGATTGTAGCGAAACATAATCGCCCATGCCAGTCGGCAAAACACCTGATGATGATGATTCACTATTCGTATTCGGCCGAATAGTTGGTCCAGCTATTCGTATTTGGCCGAAAAGTGAAAATCACTATTCGGTACACACAATGACAGAGAACTGGCTAGAGACCAGAGACTTTCAGGTGTGCCCTGACCTGTGCTAATAAAGTAAAGAAAGAGAAAAATGTAAGAAAATGAACACTGAAAAAGAAATATATTTTTTTTCAAGAATGATCGTGAACAAATAGATCATGTCTGTGCAGCAGGGAGTGACCAGCGAATCTGACTGACAGTTCTCAGGAAAAGGCAAGAAGAACGAACATAGTGGGACTGCCACTGTGTACTATTTATTATTGGGAGTGGCACCCCTTCTCTGGCTGCTGAAGATGAGGACAGAATGCTTATGTGAATTGATTGCTGTGATGGTGGTTTAAATAAACTTAAAATAAATTGTATATTAAAAATTATATGTAAAGAAACCAAACTCAAAATATGAAACTGACCCAAAATCATGGACTTAAATGATATATTACAATAAATTTATTAGTAGAACTTGACAGAAATAAAATGTGGGTAACTACAAAGTTCATGTGAATTTTAAGACTATATATAATTTTATATATAGACGATATATCAAACAACGATGCACAGGCTGTGTGCCCCACAAACAGCCACACACCTCCCACACACAGCAAATAAGTAATTTATACAACTGCCACTTTAAAATTATGCTTTGGGTAGCTGCTGAAATAAACACTGAGAACAAGTCGTGACTGCAATCGATCAACAGAGACGTATTTCTTCCTTGCTAAACAGTGACCATCAGCTTCTTGTGGGTTCTTCCACTAGTGGCTAGGCTTGATATCTTAGTTTCTGTCAACAGCAAACCAAGCCGTGATCTTGCAATGTACTTCATTCAAGCAGAGACCTACAAGGCTCAGTTATGACCATGCAACTTGAGTGATCTTACACTCTTACTGTAATCTGTCAACAGCAAAAAGGCTTTCTAAAATCTTAAAATGTTCTCCCAACAGCTAACAGACTTGAAGGATCCACATACAATCTTGTAATGTTCTGCCAACACCAAAAGGACCATCTTGCAATGGTCTGCCAACAACAAGACTGCAGTGATCTACAATTTTGTAACATTCTCCCAACATCAAACTGCTGTGTTCAGACCTTGCAATGGTATCAGTGAATTTTGGCAATCCTGCAAACACTTCAGTCTAAAATATATGGAAAATATGCACATACATGGACAAGAATCATAAAGAACATTAGAAATGGTCACAAAAATAGCGCACCCCCCCCCCCCCCCCCCCCCCCCCCCCCCCCCAAGCCTTATTTCAATGTCTCATGTTTTATCTCTTAGCACAGCCGACCAGTTTCTCTACATCATCTGAAGATGAGAAAGCTGGACAAGGCCAGTGTTTCTGGCAACTGAAATATAAAGACAAAATTGCAAGTGACAGTCTCATCAGAATTTGTAATAAACTGGCACTCACAGACATGTCTTTGTACAGATTTTGTGTTTGCTGATTGGCAGAGAGTTGCAAGGCAATCAGGCAACTGCAGTCACAAGTGTCTCTGATTGGTCACGCTGTAGGCTGCATGTCAAGTGATAATGTTCGCCCTTTAGACATTTTTTGTGTACGAGGTGAGTGAAGATGATAATGAACAGAAGGGAACCCTAGATATGAAAGTGGAGAGGATGGTAAGTGGTAGGGCATGCGGAGAGGGGCAGGGGAAAATATTAAAGAGTCCATGATGTAAGCTGGGTAGTGTCCAGGCCCTGACATCCAGGGAGAGAGAGGCAAGGGCGAAGATGTTCTGGAGACCAGCTGATGGCTTGAAGAAGTTCCGGGAACCAGCTGATGGCTTGAAGATGTTCCGGGAACCAGCTGATGGCTTGAAGATGTTCCGGGAACCAGCTGATGGCTTGAAGATGCCCTGGAGACCAGCTGATCATTTGAAAATATTCCAGAGACCAGCTGATTATTTGAAGATGTTCCAGAGACCAGCCGTTGGCTTGAAGATGTTTTGGAGACCAGCTGATTAGTTGAAAGCCGGGAATGGCTGTTGCTGAGGTCCGGCTCCTTGACCTCTGTACTGCCTGCAGTTTCAAATATAACCGGAGACACTGATAGTGAGTCGTGCGTGGTACAATCACTCAGTCGACTGCAGCTGTGCTGTGAATGTCCCTCTTCTGACTGCAGCCTGGGACTCCTGACATGGCTACTTGAATCTGAGTCACAACCAGACACTGCTGGAGAGTCCTGTTTCCTCAGCAAAGATTCCTCATTTTCCTCTAGGCCACCCTCTCCATCACCAAGTTTATAACGGGTGCACTTCTTCTTTCGTCTGTGGATGAAAAAAAACAATATATTTTCTTTTCACTGTGTACAGTACTAATAATAAAGACACAAAAACCTATTTCTTTTGCAGCAGAAACACACAAAAAAAAATTAGTATGTAACAAAATACTTTCTACTTAATTTCCTATGTAACATCTATTAACAAATATTAACTAATCCTATACGTACACAAGCTCTGCTGAAACATCCCTTAATCTTTAATCAGAAAGTGCACTTCCCCTCCCACAACAGTACGCCCAATAATTTCACAGCTGGTCTTTTGACAAATCTTCTACATAAAATTTACTGGTGCAGACTAAACAGCAATGGTTCAAACCAAATCATGCTAAATAGGCTGATTTATTAATAAACTGATATGAATTAGTTCAGACTTGTGAATAGTCTTTTTTCTTTTGCCTTTCATCCCGCCCACTGAACACAGACTCCTAATCACATCTCTTCCCCTCCCAGTTTCCTCTTACAATGTACATTAAAGTGTTACAATCGTTTCCTCAGTTATCTTCTTCTTCTTTCCTCTACTCCTGGAATGCCTCACGGCATCTGGGTAGGAAGAGATCTCTAGAACAGGCCCATGTTCGCTTCAAATATAGTACTTTTCAGTGCCCCTGATATTCCTGTGGTCCATACTCTGTGTGGTCGATCTCTGGCTTCAATTATGGCTCTGCTAATACATTCAGCTTGAAATAAAAATGTAAAGTTAAAGCTGTGTGGCACACAGTAACCAAATACACAACAGTAATAAACCATCTGTACAAAGCCGTCATTTGCTGACTAAAGTTCTGGGTCTAATTCCCACAAGACATTTAACAAACCCATGACAGTACATTTGCTGCACACCCAAAACCCAACAGAGACCTGTCTCTATGCCTTGAGGTGTACTGGCTATATGGTGCTAGCATTATATTTCTTCTGCATTCACCCTAAAAGGGCTGTTGGCACATTCTTTTATGTGCTTACAGCTAGGTTTGATGTCTGTGCTTTGGGCCAACATATAGTTCATAGTTTATGTTAGATATCATGTTCAGCAAATCCTTAATCAGTCCCCTCTAACAACATGCTTGTTGAAAAATAGATCCAGTGAAATGTGGCTAAAAAGCTTAATGACATGGGGGAAGCAGAACAACACGCAACAAATTGACATTTGGGCCAGGGCCTTTCTCAACATATGGTATTAGCTTTACTGCAGTCACTCCTATTTTTATCACTGTTAAAAAAGCAGTTGGTCAACCCCCTCCCCCCCCCCCCCCCCCCCCCCCCCCCCCCCAACAATGTGGGCCATGCAGCCCTCAATGAGTGTGATGTTATCAATATCTCAGCACCAGCCACCTTTACTTCCCTAAATATGTCCTGGCACTAGGCTAGGTCAACATGGGAGCCCAGACCAACAGTCAACATCTGTACTGGTCAAACTTGGGACCACCAAGCAAGTGGACAAGCCAGCTGGCTACTAAGCTACCACTGCGTGTGTCGTTACATTATTTAAAAAAAAAAAAAAGAGACTGCCAGAATTTAAAAAGAAAGAAAGAAATGCTATGGGGAAAAAAAAAAAAAAAAAACATGCAAAGCAGAACAAAGCACCCTGGAAATAATATGCACAGCAGAACCACTGGGAATCTGTAGGAAAACATGATCATTGCAGTCATGAACACCACACAACATGATGGCAATAAACGCAGACAGACAAGACAATAGATGAAGGTTACATGTTGTAGGGGCTACCTTCATAATGCATGCACAAGTTGATAAACTTCTATTTAAAAATCAGTGTTCACTGGCTGTAAACTCTGACAGAACATCCTAGCTGTTCACTTCTGGCCTTGTTCCAGATCTTCGGTGTTGCCTGCACATCTTTTTCACAAATCTGACTTATTTGTGTACAGACTTGGTTCCTTGCCCCTCAGATAGATGCCCTGTGACTTGGGAAGAAAATGTTCATCCTATCTAGACTGACCAGGCTCCTGGTTTGCAATACCTCTAGAAAGATTGTGGAGATGCAGCTACATCATCGCACATGATTCAGCACCTCCAAAGTAACACTCTAAATCTACTGTAGAAGCCAACATAAAATGCACATACATAGTCGTCACAATAAACAGAGAATGTGAACACACAAGATACAAACAAAGCAAGCTCTACATACAAGGTCCAACAATTAAGTAATGAGGTTCATCAGTAATCATTTCTACACCACTTTTGAATCGTGAATACCACCTGAAAATTTGTGCAGGATAAAAACAATTATCCCTATAAACTTGTTGCATCAATTCAACTGTTTCAATGGCGCTTTTTCTGAGTTTTGAAAAGAATTTAATGTTGGATTTTGGCTCCATGCTGATTAAGTAACAATGCACCTCTGAATAGGTCAACAAAATGGCGGCTTGTTTGTTGTCTACTTATCGAGCGGCAGTGAAAAGTTGCCAGATCATAGATTAATGTTGCTTCTTCAGATTCCATGCTTTGCTTCATAAATAGCATTTTTGTCTTGGCCATAATAAAATAAGTCTCACTACTTAATTGTCAGACCTTATAATTCAGGAAGAAGCAGCTACTCACAAGCAAGCATGAGACATTCATGCAAAAGTTATTTTGGTATTAAATAAATTTTATTAAAAAAAAAAACCTTTAACATCTGTGATTACTAGTTATTGATACAGCTCTATAATATCAACCGTAATTATTGAAATATATGAGCAATCAACTGTGGACATATTTTTGTTGTTGTTGCTATTACCTATGGTAATCTCCACTATCACTTCTGCAATGTCCATCCTCCCCACAGTCATTTCAATAATATTGATCTTCCTCAGAACCATTCCTACAATGTCCATCTTCCTCACAACCATTCCTACAATCTCTATCTTTCTCACAATCATTCCTACAATGTCCATCTTTCTCACAACCATTCCTACAATGTCTATCTTCCTCACAACCATTCCTACAATCTCTATCTTTCTCACAATCATTCCTACAATGTCCATCTTTCTCACAACCATTCCTACAATGTCTATCTTCCTCACAATCATTCCTACAATGTCTATCTTCTCCACAGCCATTCATATAATGTCCATCTTCCTCACAACCATTAATACAATGTCCATCTTTCTCACAACCATTCCTACAATGTCCGTCTTTCTCATAACCATTCCTACAATGTCTGTCTTCCTCACAACCATTCCTACAATGTCTGTCTTTCTCACAACCATTCCTACAATGTCCGTCTTTCTCATAACCATTCCTACAATGTCTGTCTTTCCCACAACCATTCCTTCATTGTCCGTCTTCCTCACAACCATTCCTACAATGTTCTTCCTCCCAAAACAAAACAATGAAAACTTGAAATATTTTTCATACACATTTTCAGTATTTTATCTCTGGTATTTTTGTTAGCTGACAACAAGTTTTCTCCAAATCTTTCACTTCTGTATTTGTTGTTTGTCCATATTACTAGCCACCATTCAAAATGTTCATTTATCTTCAGTCTTAGCTCAATGTCACTGTTTCCTATTTATTAACATTATATACAGCATCTACAACTTTCTCCTCAAAATGTTCATTTATCTTCAGTCTTAGCTCAATGTCACTGTTTCCTATTTATTAACATTACATACAATTTCAATAAATTTCTCCTCAAAATGATTTATAGTTAAGATCTGTGCAAAGTCTAGCCTATAAAAGATGGAAAAGGTACACAAATGTTAATTCCACCAAACATGAGTACAGATGCAGCTGTTACTGAAACAACGCCTGGCCATGCATAATCATCCACAGGGAAGATTCTACAAACACAATACATTAAGATTCAAAGCTGGAAGAAACCAGTGGTCAATACAAGTCTACATCAGCTGCCCGTCTTGGCAGTCCTCACACAACCCAGTCATGTGTGACCAAACAAAAGATTTGATCAATTTTTTAAAAATCTTGACTTAAAATATGTGTTCAAATACAATACCACTGTTAGCCTTTATGGCTCCCAGCGTAATGCAAGAATGTTTATTTTACTTTGCCCACACATGCCCACAACATATTAGGCCACCCACATACAAAAATCTGGCTTGCTGTTTGATAATGTGCCCCAGACTTGTGGATGTATTGACCCTGGTCTGCAAGAAGTGCTGAGGACACTGTTAGCAGGGAGTAATACATGTAACAGTAATACAGGAGTGATATGAAGCAGGCATGATACAATGAGCAGGCAGTGATACGAAGCAGGCAGTGATAAATGACCAGGAAATTGTACAGCAAATTTTGGCAGACTACTGCTAGCAGGCAGCGGAAAAACAATGACCAATAGTACCTTAACAAGTAAGAAGTGTTTCTGGTCTGTATCTACCATTGCCTGGTCAGACTTTTCATGTAATGACCTGAAAATGTCAACACCATGGGTTAAAGAAAGTCTGTCTGCCAAAACCAGAATGGCAATCGTGTGCATCAACATACTACCCTGCAAAATGACTGTTTTATTAATTGAGAGAGGCCTACAATGTAGTCAATGTAGTATCCTGTTAGTAAATTATTACTGGATTAATATGGAGACACGCTTGTGAAGAAACTAAGTACAGATGACAGATGCTGGACTAAAAATCACATTATACATTGGTACATGGATGACATATACTATAATATACATCTAGGTCACATGTATAAATGAAATACTGTATGAAAGCAGCTAGGTAAGATGGGCAGAACATTCTAAGGGCCTGCATGCCCATTTCTGAATCCTCTGAAAATAAAGTTCTTTGCTGAATGATACAAGCTAAAACAAAGGTCTGCTGAAACATATCAAGACAGTCATACATAAACTGGGTATGGTTTCTTGGATACCTTCACAAAAAGTTAGTTGCGTATCCTTTACAGGACGTTGCAGAACCAACCCCAGCATTTTTTGTCTGTTGTGGTTTTTCTAGGCAAGTTTATGTCTAGTAGTTTGCCATTGCTTTCTGGACAGTCAGCTTCTCGATACCGCTATCGAAACCAACCAATGCCTGCAGCTAGGATCGAACTCGGCGCGTTTACAATGCCTAAGCCACAGACGCCTTGACCTTCACATAAACTCTAGTTTATATGACTGATAATACCACTGAATGAATGTGTTCCCCACATTTTTATTCTCACTAGGTTCCAGTTCTGCAAAGAGACAATATTTATAATCCTACAGGAATCTTCTGTTGTGGATACTAGAGAGACAAGATGGTACTTCAGAATGTGCACTTGATACCAATGTGACAAAAACAAAGCTACTTTAGAATCTCCTATGGTGGGCACTATTTTGACAAGATTGCGCTGGGTAATATTTAATAATAAAAAACAATAAGGCAAGCACAAAGAATGTTAAATATAAGAGACATAAAATTCACAGCTGCTTGTGAAATAGGAATAAAATGTATGCAGATCAAGTGAAATCAACATTAAAATACCTGGTCACAGTTCAAGTAGAATTACTGAAATTACTGACAGGTCACAGGTACCATGGTAAAAACACTTAATGTGGAGACAGGTGCTAACCCACATCATCACAGAATATGGTCATAAGTGACACTCTGCCATCTCATATGATCACCAGTCTCAGATCAAGTCTGTGTTCTTCTTCCCATGGCAATTCCTCCATCAAGTTATCCAGCTGCCACTAAGTTAGGTTTATTTTCTTCAGCTTTGCACTCACCAGCTGTAAACTCTGGCAGAAAGTTATGGTTGTTCGTCCACTTCTGGACTGCCATCCTGTCCCAGAACTTAATGATGCATGTGCATCCGTTTGACAGATCTGACTAAATGGTATGAAGACTGTTGGTTCCATGCCTCT